TAGGCTGGCGAGGGATGAGGGGAAGAAATACTACTTGGTCGGGGAGGATGTGTAGTAAATGTCCTTGCGTCTCAGTTGGTTTAACCAATACATAACTTTGGGAACTCGCTCTACAGTTTGTGCCTTGTATTTCGTGAACGTTGTTCACTGTTTTCGTTGCAAATTAAATGGTATGAACGTGCTCTACGATTTGCTCCTTCGACTTCGTGAACGTTGCAATAGTGTCTATAGAGGTTTGCCGGCCATATGCCCTAGATGCAGTACACTCGGGAAGACACTGTAGCCCAATGGTTTAGGTGGGCATATTACCGCTCTGGTAGGTCGCGGGTTCGATTCCCAGCAGTGTAAATTCCTCCACACCAATCTTTTATTTCCTTTGTCCGTAATTACTGGTGTCATGAAAACTTGTACAGGGCTATTTAGCAAGACACTGTAGCCCAATGGTTTGGGTGGGTGCAACACTGCTCTGTGCAGTCGAGGGTTCAAGTTCTGGCAGTGTCATATCCATGAGGTAAATATTTTGAGTGTGACAAGCCCGACAATCTTTTATGCTGCAGACACCTATTTGAAAATATCTTACAGTTGATATAAGCTATACAAACCATTTATATGGTCTATACTTCATATCCTAGCTAAACAGATATATCTGCATTGGGCATTTCAAAGGTGATATGGTAGGACCAGTTCAGGTTACACTGTTATAGTCTGTGTGAACTATACTACTGAGGTGCATAGTGTACCAGCACTATGGTGAAAGATATTATAGTGGCTACACACTGTACAGAAGATGAGCACAGTGTATCGACACCATAGCAAAATATATTATAGTTGCTCTGAACTGTACCGAAGATGCTTATGTTGTCCTGCAGACCTAGTCGTTCTACCATTATGTCCACCACAAGACATTTTGCAGTTTATATGGTGTTATGACATCATGTCATATGCTTCGATGGTCTGTACAGACCATTTGACTGGGGTACATAGTATACAGAAACATTTTTGAGTGTGACAACTACTAACAATGTGTTATGCAAGACGTTGTACAATAGCAGAGAGCTATTTGAGAATCTCTTACAGTTGATATAAGCTATACAAATCATTTATATGGTCTATGCTACATATCCTAGCTGAGCAAATATCTCTGCAT